TTAAAAATAGATAAAAATGCGGATATAAATCCGCATTTTTTAAAAGTGCACGTTACATTATACATTTGCTGCGTTGCAATTACTTCAATTTCCTTTTCACGAGAGAAATTTTGATATTGATGCACTCAGTTTCATTACGCATTAATACCAAATGTAATTACCTCTACGGTAACGGTATCGACCCAATTGCCCTCGACGCACAACTGGAAGGAATCCACGCCTACGAACCAATCGGGACTGGGATTGATGCGCGCCATAATGCTAATTAGAGTATGATTGCCGTCCAAGAAAGCCCGAGTGATACTCATGCCCTCTCCTTGAGGAATCGGTGGACCAGTGAATGAGTGAAGACTGTTTGGCGAATCTCCATCCGCGTCCAATCCGTCGGCTCTTCCGGTTTCCACGTACAATCTTGCGCCCGTAGACAATCTTTCGCCTAATCTGTATAGAGTGTAAGTCGAGTCATGCGTTCGACCTGCAAAAAGGCACAATTGGACTTTTATTGTAACATTTCGTTGAAATATCTAGTTATATAAATTTGATATATCTTTTAACATGGAATGTCTGTGATGAATAATGATTATTAAGTAGAGATATGCAAGCTATTGCATATCAAATACAAATCGAATCAAATCGAATTTTACCTGATTCGATTCGATTTGAATTTGAATTTTCTATGATTCGAATTCGAATTATTCGAAAATTTTGAATCTGAAAGATTCGAATACGAATAACATATGTTAATCAATATTATTTTTCTTACATAGAAATTTTTTCTTTATTATCTATATATTAAAACTCCTACCAATAATTATAACGATAATTAAAAATTATATTTCAACGATTCGATTTGATTCAATTCGATTCGATGTCAAAAGACCTTGAAAAAAATTATTGTAAGACAAAGCTGGAAATATATTATTTTATTTAAAATATATATATATATTTTAAATAAAATAATATATTTTATTCATCTGTAAAAAGCGACGCTTGTTTCTCACGTTGCGAAACGCGACGATTACAGCATCGCGTAATCGTTATCCAACTGGCGGTGAAATAACGACCGCATCGTGATGCAAATGCGTTTAACGATCAATTATTCTTGCCAAGCAGCCCGATTCGGGAAACCGTTCGTCGTTCTCTTTTCTCGTCGTTGCTGGGGGCGTTAAGTAGCGCGCATTTAAGGCGCTTCATTAACGGCGGATTCGTTCCTTTTGTAGTCGCGAGTAGTCGCGGACGACGGAAGCTACTCTCGAGATAGCCGAATTAATGCCCAGGAAGAGGAAGAGAGGGTATTGAATATATAGTCAATTAATGTACCGCTCGAGACTCGTTGTCCGCCATTCCGGAAATAATGCGCCATCCTCACAGAGATCCGTATATACACGTGCACACAAACACGTAGACGCGCCCACGCCGATCTCACGCGACATCCATGCACGTGCGCATCTACGCAATCCTGAAAAATCCCTCGGACAATCTTCCCTGACGTGCTTCATCCCATGTCTCGTCGGTTTCACCCCCCAACCGGCATTCATCGTCACGCACGATTTAACAATCGATCGATGGCGAATAAACGACGGCCGGGCGCGTCCCGTGCCGCTGAAAAACTAACGTCGCTCCAGACGGGATTGCGGCCGGTATTGTGCGTTACACGTGCAGCTTCCATCGCGTTACCATCCACTAAACCTTTCTTCTTTCTCTCGGATCCTTTTTACCAAACTCGCGGAATTTTAATCGGGAATCGACGAAACACCCGGCGCAATTAAACGTCACGTGTCGTAATCACCGGAAAACTCAAGAATTTTTTGCGACACTGTCGTATCTCAAATATGATAAACGCTACAATTTCACGTTTGATAGAAAACAACTATTTTAATCAATTAATTCGCATTTACTGTTCCAAGTCCTTTATCAATTAAAATTTAATTAATAAAATTTCCGATTAATCTCTCATTTCCGAAATTTCCTATACTTCAGCAAAGAGAAAATTAATTTCGGATTTGTCAAAGGATAATCATCATGAAATGCTGCGCAAACTTTCCAAAATACGCCATGTATCAGTCTGCCGTATTTTTATTGCATCCAGTTATTCGCCAAAATGTTACGCGATGCGGTTTCTCATTCCATTCGTGCGAACAAAACCGAAACGTAGCTTTCAAAGGGATCGAAATAGTTCCCGTACCGGTAGTACACGCGCCGCAGTAGTCCCGCTGAGTTCGAAGGAGACGTAATTAGTTACGAAATTAATGGAAACCACGAGGGATATTGACTGCGTGCATTGGCAGACTTTACGCAGAGCCTGAAACTGCCGTAATTTCGACGGTCGAACTGTCGTTTCATCAAAGATAAAAATAAAAAATTGAAATTTGATCAGAAAAAAATTCAAAATACACAAGTATTACAATGAAGTAAACTTCTAGAAATCTGCACATCTTATTGAAATACTCGCAAACAATCGTTAACATGTAACATTATTTTATTATCCATGAATTGACGTAGTCAATGTTGGTCAGTCTTGTCCATGTTTTCTACTTTGCCGCGATGATTCGACTTTTACATACGGCGATGGGAGCTGTGTTTTATTTAAATGAGAAAGAAGAACAGTAAGTTCTTCCTTTGATGTACATTCGTTTTTAGTTAAATCTAAAATTAATCCGTCTTTGTACAACACGCTCCTGAACTAATCCAACAGATTCCAACAGCCCAAGTATTACACTGCCCCGCTCACGAAAGTAAGCTGAAAAAGCCATTAAAGTCGACTCGCGACTTAAATTGGCCTCGTTAATTAGATTAATTAGTATTGATCCACTTTTCACAACCGCTCCAATCTGATCCCTGTCCGTCTTGCGGCGTCTTCCCATCCACCTTTACTCTCGCTCGTCTCGCGCAGACAGAATTTATGAATGAATATTATCTCCGTCCCTTTGAAGCTCCATCTATCTCTAACCGGTCGGTAATTTCATCAGGACTTAAATAGACGTTGATTTCATTCCGCAAATTACATTCGCAAACAGTGGCGTTTTATTAATTCCACCCGTTGCCGGCGGTGACGTCACCTCTTTTCAACGAGCACTTCGTTCTTTACATAGCTTTATTAACTTATATTAACAATCATTATTCAAGAAAATCTTCGAACGTATCTGTTTTATATTCCGCGGATTGAAATAAAAAGCAAGCTCAAGATAGCGAAATAAATATAAAATACCAAATCTTCTCTCTTTTCTTTTGAGATTTGAAATAAGACCGCTAAATTAACATTCTAGATCAACTCCGATTTAGATTTGTCCGTGTAATATTTCTCTGACACGCCATGAAAAATATACGCGACATCAACGTGGCACGATTCGCAATTCGATAGATTCTTATGATCGACTATTTTATTATTATATAACTGAACAATTTTCTCCGTACATGCAAATTTTCCATTGTTTTATCGAAGAGCTATTCAATAAAAATCCTATCATTGAAAGATACTTTATGGAAATAACATAGCGAATTTTGTCGTCGAATACGAATATTGCGATTTCGCACGAAAGTTCTTTCTAGAATAAATAAGAAATTCGATTCGATCAACCTGTCGGGACCGCGCACCTCTGCTATTCGCTTGAACCTCTTCTTTTTTTTTATATTCGACAAGCCTTGCGACATATTCGAGCGGTAAGAACAGCGGGACTGGTGGAGCCTGGAACGAAGATTGACGACACGACGAACGCGAATGGGCTCGCGGTTCAATTCGCGAAATTCAATGTCGCTAAATTTAAACTTTTGCACGGTGAAATCAATCCACCTAATGATCGTCATAATTCACTCTGTCAAAGAATTCGCAAGGCGACGAACTGTTTTTTTTTTTCTTTTCACGATAGTTGAGAACTGTTAGTTGTATAAACGCAATGCGACAAAAAATTTTATCTTGTTCATTTCTCATCAAATATACGAAGCACGAAAAAGTTTTTATCTATTTAGCGGAGAAATTCGTCAAGACTTTGAAAGTTCAGCAGCATATTCGGGAAGATGTTTTAATAGTTTGTAACTTCAATGTACCTTTCGATCATGTTTCGAAGGAACGTGACTTGGAGGAATCGGATAAAACACGATAATCGCATTTCGAAAATGTTCATCTAGATTTAAATGAGCATCCCTGCGCTTTCTGTAAGCGTAGTATTCAATTTTCAGGCCGGTACTATATCAAAGCCTGCGTCTTAAAGCGGTCGAATTCCTGATGAACAAGAGGGATAAGAACAATGTCGACTGGGATGGGACCTTTCGGATTGGCTCGTGGCTTCATTCAACGAAATCGACCGGGCCGTAATTGAAATGCGAACAAAGCTCGCTCGTGACAATACGCGACCTTTAATTAGTGCCGCGACGGAAGAACGCGCCGGCGGCGACGAGCGGAGCCCCGGCTCGTCGTCGAACTTATCCGTTTCCGTAAGTTCGGGAAAGTGCTTAGGGCAAACAAGCGTGATTTGACAAATTGCACGCGATCGCGTCAGGGAGACGAAGTCGTTCATTTCGGTGGCTGAAGAATGGACGTCTCGTACGGGTCGACATCGAGATTGATAAATTCGCCGCGGACGATGGCAAGGGTAGAAGTCGGATTGATAGTCGCGCGCAGTAGAGGAGCAACGAGTTTCGTGCCGGCTGGCTGTAAATGTTTCCAGTTCCTTCAGCGAAGGAACTGGAAAGTCCGGATTAACCCCCGACCGGATGAAAATCCGAGTAGGAAGACGCTCCTGCCTCTTCCGCCGGCGGTTCTTTGTTCGTCTTCATCTTCCTTGGAATTGGCGTCTGAAACAACTTTTCAACTTCCCTGGGAAGGAGCCGAGGAAAGCGGCGATCGCGGCCGACCTAGGTCACGAAGAAATTCCGCGTTGGAATAACGGAAGTGATGTGAGAGAGATTGCTGTATTCGAAATTTGATCCACGAAACTCTCGTTCTCGATTTGAACGTGTCTATCGAGCGTGTGAAAATTATGAGAATTGGAGATGAGTCTTATGAAGATATGTGCGATACTACAGTTTTCTTTACTACAGAGCTCCGTTCTTCTCATTACGCTATTCTGGATATTCTGATATTTCTAGGATTTTATTTTATTCGCGCGATTATATATTATTATCCTCTTCTCGGAAACGTGCTTTCGCATTTCGTACTCTGATCAGTCGTGAATATTCGTTTATGTGCAGCTTAGGGAGAAATAGTATCGTCGACGGAGAACTTTTATTTTTACTACTGTCGTCGTATCTATTTAAGGCGACGAACATTTCGCACGCGTTTTCGTTGCACTGACTAAACCATACGTGAGTCATCGTTTTCAGGGCGCATAATTTAACTTTCATGATATATTTTCTCACTATGAGAATTCACACACTATTCTCTATTATCTCTACTTTACTTCCCGCAGTAGACTTTAATATCTCGCGAATTTTATTTCAGTATACGATTATTTCCATTTAAAGGGTCTATCTGTGCTC